TATAAACCGAGTGGCTGTCTTATATATGAGCTTTGAGAAATATTGTCTTAAACTTACTCATCTTGCCAAATAATGTTTTTGCAATGATTATAGGCTCCTCATACTAACTCTATTTAAATAAGGCTATGGAAGTTGACTATTGTCACTGTCAATATCAGATCCAAAGAAGAAGAAATGGAACATCCAGTGTATTAGTCTTTGAAATAAGTGTCATATTGACTCCTGCATCCATCCCACCAAGCAGAGAGAAAAGTTAAAATAGATGATGTAAATCTTAGTATTAATTTACTTGCATCTAGATAATAGATATAATATGTGTAGAAACCAATTAATCCAGTATTTAGATTTTTATATAGAATTTCTAGTTCATTGATTATTTTTAATGAACTTTGATATAATGAACTCACAAATGAAAACATCATGCAGCTAGATTAAGATAGGCAGTCAAACACAACCATGCGAAGGCCCAAACTCTACACATTTCAGTGAGCTTCTGTGCAGACAGAAAGACCCTTCTAGAACTGAGGAGCTTCACTTAAGGTTTCACACTCTGATTAATTTAGAATGGTAATGTTTGAAGTTTTATTCTAAATCAGCACTATTAACATTACTGCCTCAGAAACGAAAAACTATCAAGTTAGAGTCAATTAATCAATGTATGTTTTCCCAAGCTCTCTCAATTCTAATTTCACTAGGCTTTCAAAACATCTGATTAAAATGAGTTAGCCAACCTACTAAACAATGAACAATAGCCTCTGAAGAGTTTTTGACATATGCCTGGAAACATGCTCAGGAACAATCTGCTATGTCAAGGCCAAAATCCAAACTGAAAAATGTTGTCACTGTGGTAGATTTCTACCTAAATCCAAATATGATCTTGTTCTTTTTCCTAAGAAGATGATTTTTGTCAATAGTCCCCTAAAAAGTATGATGTTGAAAAACTATATACATATGCATACTAATAAAAAATTATAAATTATTTTAAATAAGCAGGTTGATAAACTAATATACCATAATGAGAAATAAGATTTCTACAATGTTTTTGTCAGTATTTTATATTGTTGGCCATATACCACAGACTCTGTTCACTGAAGCACAAAACTATGTTTAAACACAAGTTAAGGTGAAGAGTTTCCACACTGTCAAAGGCATCATATAAAAGTCATATTCATAGGGATTACACAATGAAAACAGATGCTGCACTCACAGCGAGTAGCATGTAAACCAGCTAAAATGCTTTCACTGGTTTTCTGATGTATTTACTTTATATAGTATTTAATTCCAAGTTTGTTTGATTTACAATTCACATGCAAATATCTAAAAAATAGGTAGTTCAACATATAGTTCATTAAAATGTTGGGTCAGGTACAATTGCAAAATCTTTGAACAAGGAGAAAAAACACAGCCACATTAAATCAGCATATTTTTGTGACGTTTTAATAAAAACATAATAGATAAAATTGTGAGATCTAAACACTTTTTAAGAATTTTGCCAATGAATCTTTGACTTGCTTATTTCTCAAACTGTAGATAATTGGATTTAGCACAGGAATTATGACAGTGTAAAATACAGAGTCCATCATGTCTTCATCATGAACTTTTTGAGTTGCAGGAAGCAGATACATGAAGAGAAGAGAGCCATAGTACAAAGACACAGACAAGAGATGGGCTCCACAGGTAGAGAAGGCTTTTCCTATGCCTTTGACAGATTTCTTTTTTAAAATTGTAAAGAGAACAAGTGTGTAAGAGACAAGAATAGTCAAAATAGTGAATGCCTGAATTGAACCAGAGAAAATAAAAACAATTAAGTAATTAAGAGAAGGATCTGTACAGGAAATTTTTAACAATGGCATAACATCACAGTAAAAGTGGTGTACTATGTTGGAATTACAGAAGGTTAATCTGAATAACATGCCTTCATGAATTGAAGCATGAAGAATTCCAACTACAAAGGTCATGACTAGCAGACGTATACAAAGTCTGTTTGTCATAACCACTGGGTAAAGTAAAGGATTACAAATGGCTGCATAGCGGTCATAGGCCATTGCTGCCAAGAGGAAGCATTCCATGGTTGCACACAGCACGAATGAAAAGAATTGCACCATGCATTCAGATAGGGAAATCAGATTGCTCTTAGCTAAGAGGCTGAACAGTATCTTTGGTGTCACTGTGGATGATAACCACGTATCCACAAGAGCTAAACTCCCAAGGAAAAAGTACATGGGGATGTGAAGGTGGGGGTCATTCCAGATGAGAGTGATCAGACCAAGGTTCCCCACAATGGTGATGAGATAAATCACCAAGAACAGCAGGAACAGGGGAATTTTCCACTGCTGTTGGTATGTGAGTCCTGTGAGAACAAACTCTATCCATAATGTTGTATTCTCTTTCTCCATGTCCTCATTGAATGTTCCCTGAAATGAAGGAATGACTGTCAGACAGCATTCACAAAAAGGTTATGAAGTGGGATTTAGGGTAGTAATGTTGAAATACAGCTCTATACTTATCAGAATGACCCTTTAATTTCTTTCTTTTAAATGAACTATAATTGATAGAGTCTATTTTTGAGAACAGAGAAATGATTTTAGTTCATTGTTTTAATGTTACAATGTGAATATATTAACTAATTTAAAAATGATATAATATTCTCTTAGCATTTGTGAAATGTGTGAACAAACATGGTTTGGTAGGAAAAGTTTATATCTGCATATTGGATACATTGTCAAAGGGAAATATGTTTTAAGCACCCAAAATATAAAATGAATTGAATTGAATTGAATGGTCTTAGTCAATTGATATATGCTAACCAACTTGATACAGTGAACACATAATAAGTACTGACAGGAGAACTATCTCAAAATTAAAGTTAATTATATAACAGTGAAAAACAAATTTCTGGGAGGAGAGACTAGAATAAGCAAAATTAGAAATACCTTACTTTATCCAGAGGTTTCTTAGCAATATCAGAATTGTTTAGAAACACTGTGCAAAATATAGACCATATGATTACAATTACAGAAAGTATTTCAGGATCTAATAGTCTATCTTTTAAATCATTCCCAAGCCATTTAAAATATTTTATTTATTATTATTTTTATTTTATGTATATGAATGAATTACCTGCATATATGTAAGTACACCCATGCCATGCAATGCCATGGAGGTCAGAAATTATGGTACATGTGACTGGGCATTGCAAACAATTAGAACAAAAAGACTAGAAACAATTCACAGTATTGAACCACTACTGTGCAGTGATATAAGACATGAGGACTGGATGCTCAATGAAAGAAGAAACAAAAAATTTGATGAATGGGGAGACAGTCTTCTAAAATTTAGCTTGAGAATTTAAGTGCACTAGTTTATTAGTTAGTATCAATGAACATGGAAGAAACATACTTTCTTATGTGGGTCTACTAAGGCTTGTTAATAATAATGTGTGACTGCCTTGCTCCCTTCCTTTCCTGCCTATTTTTCCAATTGATTAATCAATCTTTCCAGAATTTTTTTTTATTAGAATCAATCTCCTTTCAGCACAACTAGCAAAGTATGGGGCTCAAAAGAAAGTCAAAGGAAAGACACTAAAGACAATGCATAGAACACAACCAAAATAAGTTTAGGGGTTTTATCCTAAAGGAAGGAACTCTCATATGACCATGAAGTACAGAGCCACAGGGCAAATAAAGGATCTCTTGGGAACAGTGGTTAGAGAGTCCTGGGTGCTAAAAGTTTAGAAATTGCTAACAGCCTCCTGCATGTGACAGAGCTCTCATTAAAATTAATTAATGAGAATTAAATGTCCATTCAGAGAAGGAATGCTGTGGAGTGTTCTAAGAGCCACATAGGACAGCTAGCATTTTTTTCCAGTGTTCCTAGACAACTGTAATCTTTCATCTGTCTGTATTAAGAAAGGCTTTTAAATAAAGGATAAACAAATGAGTGAAGGGAAGAGGGAGGCGTTTAGTGGAGGAAAATCACAGGAAAAGTAGAAGGAGCAATTTGAGTGGGTGAAAAGGAAACAAAAAGAAGGAAAAGAAGTAGGTTTAGCAAAGCAAAGACATTTAGGGATAAGTGGAATGGGAGGAAAAGAACAGAGAGGAAGTACCAGAAGACTGAAAATTAAACCGGAAGTGGGGTGTTTCACAGCCTTGGTTTCAATGCTGGTCCTAGCCTTGGTGTTTATTGGACATAGGCAGACTTGAAAATTATTTGCTTCCATTTTTGTATAAGTCAAAATGTACTTTCTTATAAAATATACACTTGCAACAAAGAAGTATTAAATTTTCTTCACTACATTTGTGTGGTTCATACATAAACACATGTGTAGTCACTACTTAAAATTTCATCCTGTGTTTCGTTACTGACAACAGAATTGGAAAACATTTTGCTAGAAATCTATTTGAGAATATTTCTATTTGAACTTTTATTTGAGAACACAGATTCACTTCAATTGTTTTTGCATGGTATTCTTTCTTTCAGTGGAAATGCCAGTCCTCACTCCACATTTCTAACAAGACTATCAGAGCTACTGCAAATTATGGAATAAAAGAGCAGCCCCCTATAACTGGAGATTTCTTGTTTTTAGGTAAAGTGTGTAAGAATAGTTTTCCTTCTATGCAAACTGAAACAAACCAAAGCATGAATTCTCAAATTGTTTGCCATGTGGAACGTAATTAAGTCATAAATGTAGGAAAGTAATAGGAAATGTTTTCTGCATATCATATATATGTGTGTATTTATGTGTACATAAATTCATATCTGAATATGTATCAAAATACATATATTCAAAATAATATTTCAGGAAACATATCCCATACATAGATGTTGAGTATATATTCACATGTAATATAACTTATAAAGTTATATACATATGTTATCTAATGAAATTATTGGAAGAACTAGAGGATTGTATATGGGTTTAAATACTTGAGTTACTCACCTTAAAAGATTTATTCAGAGAAAATAATTAAATGGAAGAGTCTTTTTGCTGAGATTTTCAGAATTGATTATATAAGAAGTATTATGATTTAGATCTTTAAACGGAAGTTTGAGTTAATGTCTAGTTCATTAGAATTTAAAGATCAATAGGACAAAATATTAAAACAGACCATTAAATAGCACAATTCAAGCTGCTTTTCTTATTCATCTTTAGCAAGGAAGTAAAAATATACAGCTGGTGGTGTCTTCATATGCACAGTTATATGCATACACAGTATCTATCAAAAATATAAAATTATTTTGAAAGAAAAGGCATTCTTAATTTTCTATTGAAAAGTTGATGAATATTATAGAATGCATTTCTCTCATCCATATCTTGAAAGAGATTGCAGAGATCCTGAAAATATTGTGCTTCCTAACGTAGAAAAGAACAGAGCAGTATAGGAATGCAGTGCTGTAGGTAGTGCTGCTTTCCACAGTGATTCATTTGGAGGTTTTATTGCCAGAGAGCAGGAAGCACTGCTTATATGAATTTTCTTTCAACAAAAGAATCAACTAATTGTACCCTGCATGCTGTTTCCAGAACAGGAAGGGCTGGCTGGAGAACTGAAATTTCCCTGAGAGCCCCAGGGTTCTCTAGAGAAAAGATGAGGGTGCTCTACTGGGCACTGTGGGTTTGGACACCTATGAATAGTCCAAATTGGCCCCATGGGCATCACAGCCTTTAAAATCATAAATATTCAGTACAGTAAGTTATTATAACTTTACCAATTAATATCACACCTTATGTTTCTATTTACCCTTACAGATGATGACACTTCTGAGATGTTTAGACAAATTTATATATAACATAAATTCTCTAAAGGCTTTGTCTGATTTAATCCAGACATTACTTATGATGACTCATGATCTAGATCTAAGCAGCTTAAACATTAGGTTTTGACCCTATATGGGATCATCAAATACTTGGCAACTGCAGGTTTCTAAATTCATAGCAACAACAAAAATTATTCAAAGTCCAACAAACAATGACTCATGTGTTTCTGGCAGTGCTTACCTGTGTCACACTGGGACTTCACTACAGCTGGAACTCAAAAGGGCAGAGGACATCATGTCAAACAAAAACCAACTCATCCTGAAACAGTTATTTCAGATTCTAGACTGCTGCATATTATGAATTACAATGTTTGTACTGTGCATACAAAGATTTTTATTCTTGCAGAAGCATAATGGTTTAATTATAAAAATGAAAAGTTTTTAATTTTTTCTGCCATTATTCCTCAGCACATAGGAATATTATAAGGAAAAAGTTAAAGAATCCTTAATCTAGATTTCCTTCAGAAATCAATCTGAAATAGCGCTTTCCTCTTGATACAAAATGCAGCTTAAATTAAAGACTCACACTAAACAGAAATCTCTCAACCTGAGTTAAAAATGATTAAAAATATTGAGAAGCAAGAAGAGAAAAGAAAACATAAACCCTGGACTTCAGTGGACAGAGACTATATCTGTGGTTTCTAAATGTCAAAGTGTGGCCTCTAAATTTCTTGATCTTGCTCAAATGAAGTCTGCTCTAGTAATTAATTATGGGAAGGCACAGAACTTATAGGAAGGTGATGTGGGGCTGAAGAGTTGGTTCAGTGGTTAAGAACACTGACTGCTCTTGCAGAGGACCCAGGTTTAATTCCCACTACCCACATGACAGCTAACAACTGTCTGTAACTCCAGTTCCAGGGCCTCTGAGTCCCTCTTCTGACCTCCATGGGCATTGCATAACATGGGTGCACTTTCATACATGCAGGCAATACACTCATACACATAAGAAATAAAAATAATAAATAAAATATTTTTTAAAAAGAAACCTGATGCCTATGGACACTGATATCTCCAGAGCATTCATCACTAAAAGACCACAATTTTCAGATGACGTGATAATTGTAAATGTGAACTCCCTGCAGAGAATGAAGCCTCGAGGAGGCACCCGTGGCCAAGGGGGTAGTGTATGTGAGATTTGAATCTTATTTTGAGAGTTTTCCATCTGTTCAGACCCACACACACACACACACACACACACACACACACACACACACCACTTTCCAATTGTAAATACATTAAATGATGTTACAGTAATAGAAGGTTATCTATGGAGAGAATTGACTGAGAGAAAAAAAAGCATGTTCCTGAGAGAGGAAGAATGTCTAGAACATTATCAATAACAATTCTGGCTATTGCATCAGTTATAAGAGGATTGCAGGTGAACAGATTCTAGAGATAAATCAAGGTGATATTTTTTAATACTTCACAAAATTGAGAATGGGCAGATGTAAAAAAATAAAGCATGATACAAGTTGTATATGCATATGAAGAAATTATGCATGCTCCTGTATTCCAATTTATAATTATGCGTTAACATCTAGATAAACATGATATATATTTGTATTGTAACAATGAGAACTTGTTA